TTGAACACAGTTTTGCTTTTGCTGAGTAAGGATACACAGTTGTGTAGATAGCTATGGCTAGGGGTGAATTAGACACCTCTTGGCTATGCCTTACTCAGTAAGAAATCGCTCTGTAAATAAATAAGAAAATTAAAATAGCACTATACTGGTGTATTAGTTGGTAAATCGCTCTGTAAATAAATAAGAAAAAAATTTAGACAGTACTACACTGGTATACTAGTTTGTGAAGGCTGACTACTAATCATGGTTTTGTTGTTGTTACAATAAAGCATCAAACTAGGGGCCAGCAGGTGGCCAGTCATTAAGATGCTGAACTCCCACATGGCCACTATGGTTAAAGTTCTCCACCTGGCAGCTTGAAAAATCACAGCAGGCACATGTGCATGTGTGTTCCCAACATCCCAAGAGGAGAATAAAGGAGAAGGGATTGCAGTGTGGTCTTCCCTCCTAGGGAGCGAATTTTCACTTTCCCTCTCATTGTCTCTCTCTGGCTAGTACACATGCCCTCTGGCAAAAACCTAACAAATTTTAAAAACTAAATGAAAGTAAAATGTTTGAGATGAATTATAGTTAATATTACCTACTCTATAAAAGAGGCATAAAGCCTATATATTATATTATTATTTTTTTTAATTTTGAAAATTCTTAATAAGGTCTTCCTTCCTTTCTCATAATTTGCTAAAGGGCACGTGCACTCACTGGAGAAAGATGGAGAGAGAGAGAGAGAAAGAGAGTCATGCTGCAATTACTTTTCCTCTCTTTCTCCTTTCAAGATTTGGGGCACACATGCTCATATGCCCAGTATGTTTTTCACGCCACTAGGCCTGAGAATACACAGTTGGCCATGTGAAATCCAGCTACCTTAATCACCATGCTACAGGCTAGCCCTTTAAATTTTTCTTTTCTCTCATCCTCTCCTTCAAGATCTTCGCCAAGAGAAGTTCTAATATTTCTTGTCTGAAAGGTCTAGAACTAGATGCTTCCCTAGTGATGAGAGAATAGACACCAGGGCTTCTTAAATGTCTTTCTTGGACTCCCATTCTGACTCCTGTTATTGCATGCTTTAACTGTTCTTTAATTAAAGGTTGAAATGTTGCCTGACCTGCACTAAAAACTCTTTCACTTTTCTTAGTGTTCACTAAAGCCCTCTTGTAGACATGAGACATTTTTAAAATGTCTACATTTATTTTTTAATCAATGGTTATCTTTTGATGCATCTTCAAAACATCACACATGGGTCTTAAGAAAAAACATAGATTTTTGCTTTGGTAGCTGGAAAACTTTTAGACTTTATTCATCAGCTCGCTGAAATGTTACCTTTTCAGAGACATAGACACTATCACAAAATTTCCTGATATCCTCATTAATACTGTGGCTTGCTGAATTAAAGCAGCTGATTTTGAAAAAGTTCAATGTTGTTTCTTTCAAAGATTAACTTTTATTTCTAAATTATGGTTTTTATAACACTTTTTACATTACTAAGGATTTTCTCCCATGTGAGTTCTCTGATGGGCAGTGAGTTCTGAATTCTGGTAAAACAATTTATTTTTTACATTACTAAGATTTCTTACCTGTGAGTTCTCTGATACACCATAAGTTGTGATTTCTTATAGAACATTCTACTATATTTCCCATGCTTATAGGGTTTCCTTCCTCTTTGAGTTCTCTAATGCAAAGTCTGGAACTAGTTCTGAGAAAATATTATCCACATCATTCTCATTCATAGGATTTCTGTGTGTTTTCTGATGTACAGTGTGGGTTAACTTACAAATGGAGACACTTTTTGTGAGAGAGAAGTATTTTGCTATACAGTATACGTACTCACTGGAGAGGCAGAAAGAAACAGACAGAAAGTGAGAAATCATCTCCCAGGGGGATCACCATGCCACAGTCCCTTCTTCTCCATTATCCTCTTGGGATTTGGGGCATGCACACATGTGCACCCAGCATGAGTTTCAAGCTGTCAGGTCCAGGACTCAAACAGTGGTTGGCCACATGAGAGTCCAGCGCCTTAACCAATACACCTCTTGCAGACCCTCTGGAGGCACTCTTTTAAAAGGAGTCTCTATATCAACTTAGATATAACCAGGTTACATCAGCCCTTCTCATGAAAAGAACTGTAGGGACCAGCAGTTAGCATAATGGCTATGTCGCTGGACTCCCATGTAGTTGACCGCGGTTCAAGTCCCAGACCTGGTGGCTTAAACTCACACTGGGCTAGTGTGCATGTGTGCCCAAGATCCCGAGAAGACAATGGAGGAGAAGGGATTGCAGCTTGGCCATCCCCCCTGGTGATCATTTCTCATTTTCTGATTCTCTGTCTCTCTTTTTGGTGAGCACTCGTGCCCTGTGGCAAAATCCTCTCCAAAAAAAAAAAAAAAGAGAGAGAACTGCATACTATAGGATTAGACTAATTACATTATTTGAGGGGCCTAAAAACTAAAGACTCATGGAGTAAACATAGGCATCAATAATTCATTTGTATCACCAGGGAACTTTGGAATGCCACTTAGGATATGCATGTATAATAATTCTAAGACCAAAGAATCAGTATAGGTGAGGGAACTTTAAAAATTTTATGGACAATTAAGGTAAATATACTAAAGTTTATTTTGATCTAAACAGATTTCAAAATCTAGTTCAGCCTGGGGCTTAAAAAAAAAAAAATAGACCCAGTGTATGTGTGTGTGAGTCCCAAATCCCAATAAGATGGAGAAATGGAAGAGAGGAAATTGAGGCATGACTATACCTTATTTGGGGAATGATTTCTCCTGATCCTTCTCTCTCTGTCTCTAGTGAGTTCAAGTGCCCTCTGGCAATAAAAATTTTAAATTTTGAAACCCATGCATTATTTTTTTTATAATACACATTTTCTACAAACTTTTTGTACACCCATTGTATGATCCTGGAAGTGTTAAGCAAAGATTTCGATAGGCCACAACTGTGCAATGTATGCCAATGAAATCTTGTCTTTTAAGTGCTTCCTTACAGAATTTGTTTCACTGCAAGCCTTAAGATATTTATTATCAGAGGATTGTCTTTATTCCTTTGAAGTCGATTTTTTTCTCCCTGATTTGCAGCACTTTAATATTGTGAAGGCCTTCACTCCAGAGAAGCAATGAAGCAAAGCAAAGCTTCATGGAGTCACACTGTGAGAATGAAAACATGTCACATTAATTCAGCCCTCCCTTCCTGCCCTCTTTCTATCAACGAAAGAAGTTATAAGAAGCAAACAAATAACATTCATACGGAAACATATACATACAGCGAGTTTGATTATTTTTCCCTTTGGCATGTGCACAACAAAAACCTCCATATAGCTGCTAAAGCTTTCTGACGTCAGCAAGTCCTTTTCTGTGAGTCATTAAATTGCTGAAGCCCAGAAAATCAAATTTAGTTTAGGCCTGTTTGATAATGTAGTAACATAGTAAAATGTGATTCTCCAATTAGCTGATGTAATTGGAAAATCATAAACAGGCTCTGAGTGGGTGGTTGGTTGGTGGACACACAGAAGTGAAGCATCATCGTCCTCATTCTATACTGTTACTGATTCTAATTCTACCTTTGGTGGATGACACTGCATCCAAATTCCTTTTGAAAGAGAATCCACAAATATATGTTTATAAATCAAATAAATAACTTAATTACTCCTTTTTCCTTCTTTGATTTTTTTTTTCCTTTTGCCAAGCCCTATGTTAGACAACGAGGCTGGTTTGCTGGTCCTTGCCTCAATAGAAATCTTAATCTGCAGTACTGTGTTTAAATTCTTCTAAAATAGAAAAGGATACTGAAGTTAGAACCCTGCAAAAAGACATGGTTTTGTGGTTTAAAAAATTAGTCTTTCTACCTGATTCTTAGATTCTAGTGATGTTGCCAAGACATGTATCAAAAAAAAAAAAAAAAGGAAATAGTCAATTTGAGAATTTTCTTGCTCAGAGATTTTGCCTGGCTGAGAAGAACTCTGTGATAGATGAAAATGGGACCTGAATATATTTGTTAGGTTATTTTAAACAACTCTTCCTACATTCTCTTTGCATATCTGTTAAAATCTAAGGTGCCTGGCTATATTTTAAATGTATTTATTTCTTTCTGTAAATTCAAATCAAGTGTTGCTTGGTTGGTTAAGACAATTTTTCACTGGGAATTTCAACAGATGTCCTTTTTGCCTTCTTACTATGGTCATGATTACATGGTCGTGGGCCTCCAAGGATAATAGGGATGAATTACCTGAGTATCATTCAATAAGGAAGAAGCATTCCTTACCTGATGCAGTACTTCTTAATGCTATTTTACCACCAATCCAAAAAAAAAAGTTATATATAGTTTTGCCATTAATATCACAGATTTTCTTTTTTAAATTTTTGCCATAGAGTCAGAGAGAGAAAGGGGGAAAATGAGAAATCACCCCCCAGAAGGAATGGCCATGCCGCAATCCTTTGTCTCCCATTTTCCTTTTGGGATTTTGAGCACACATATACATGTACCAGGCATGTTTCTCAAGCTGCCAGGTCCAGGAACTCAAATGATGCAGTTGGCCATTATGGAATCCAGTGCCATCTTAACCACCATGCCACCAACTGGTCCAATATCACAGATTTTTTTAAGTTCATATTCTGGTGTTTATTTCTGAAACTTGAAAACGTATTAGGGAATTATTGCCTTCATAAAGGTAACATTACCCCTAGATAATTTGTTCTTGTAAATTCACAATGAATATTTTGTGGTGTTCTCCTTTCTTATAAAAAAAAAAATCACAAAATTCTAAGAAATGCAAAAATCTTTGATTATTTTAATAGCAACTCACTCATATGCTTTATTTAGAATAGTTTGTATTATATGTCAGAAGGATGAAAACATATAATCATAAACATCAAGAAAGTGTGGTTTATTCATAGCTAGAGTGAAAATGTAACCCCCAAACATTTTTTGAAATGTGGTTGTCTTCACCTCGATATATATTTAATAGTTCTTTCTGTATTTTTTCTTTTTCCTGTTTACAGGTCAATGGGACAGAAATTGAATATGAATTTGAAGAAATTACATTGGAGAGGGTAAGAAAAATTTTAAAATCCAAAGTCTCACTTTTGCATTCTACATTCTACATACTATTAGTTCGTCTTGTGAAATTGTACAACTGTGTATTATAACCTAGAATACAAAATATGCCACAAGACTCTCAACGAGAATATTAATGAAATACTCATGGTAGAGTGCATTGAACAGAAGACCAACCAGAATGCTCAGTATATAAATTGCATTGCCAAGATTTGGAGAAATGAATAGAAAAGACAGAAATGTTCGATGAACTTGTACAGTATTTTGTTCTTAATGTTTTTATTACTAGCGTTTTGGTCATACCTTTTTTTTTTAGATATAATATGAGATAGTTTCATTTGTGTGATTGTGGTACTACTATCATAACTATACCTACCAAGTTTTTCTTACTTAGTTAAAAAAATTCATGTTTGAATATTCATTTGGCAAGCTAACTGATGCCTAGTGATTGAATATATAAAAGAAATTAAAACAAAACCTACTTTTTAAAAAAAGTGATAGACTTTTAAAACTACCCTGTAAGGAAAAATTCAGCAATATGTAGAGCTCTGAAAATATACTGGAAGGGTCTTGGCAAAAGCCTTTGACAAATCAAGGAAACGCTGTGTAATACTGTCCTAAGATACTTAGATATTTTACAAAACAGTAGGAGAAATACCAAAGACCGTTTAGAAAACAATGACCAAAATTCATTAAGAGCACATTCAATCAAAAAGTAAAGGCCAGTGAACCTATGGAAATCTTTCATCCTCATTAATAAATAAAATGAAAGTAAATCATTTTGGTCTTTCCAATGGACAAAAATTTTAAAGGAATGTTAATATGCAGTGCCAGTGAGTGGCCCTGGAACATAGTGCAATTCCAAATGAGCATTTTGGAAACATTAATCAAAATCCTTTAGAATAGGCACATTTTTTGACCCACAAATTGTACTTATAGCAAAGGATAAATAAAAGAATATTTATATTAATATTGTTCGTAAAAGTGAAAAATGAAAAAGACAAATATTTAGTATTATTATATAAAAATGTTTAAATACAAGGGAGTCAGCAGGTAGTGTGTTGGTTGAGACACTGAACTCCTACACAGCCAGCTATGGTTCAAATCCCAGACCCCATTGCTTGAAACTCACACTGGGCATATGTGCGTGCATGCCCAGAATCCTAAGAGAATGGAGGTGAGGGGATTGCAGTGTGGCTATCCCCCCCAGCGAGTAATTCCTTTCTTTCTCTTTCTCTCTCTGAAGAGTGCACACACTATATGGCAAAAACATTAAAAAAAAAAAAAAAGTTTAAGTACAAGAATATAAGGCTCTAGTAGTAAATTAAAAAATCAAGTATTAAAATGATATGTAAAATATGACCCAATAAGCACAAAGCTACACATATATAATATACAAGCATGAGTACATGCATAAAGCTTGGAAAGATATACACCAAATGTTAAAAGTGGTTAAATCTTGTTAAGAACTTTTTTAAGAGATTTTTTTGGTATAGGGCACACGTGCTTCCCCAGACAAATAGAGAGACAGAAAGCGAGAAATCAACCCCCGGGGGGATAGCCACACTGCAGTCCCTTCTCCTCCATTCTCTTCTGGGGATCCTGGGCCCTCACATACATGTACCTCATGTGAGTTTAAATCACCAGGTCTGAGACTCAAACCATGGTTGACTATATAGGAGTCCAGTGACGTAACCATTACGCCATCTGCTGGTCCCAAGAACTTTTTCATAATTTTTAGTTTCATTTCTTTGTTCATATTTATTTCCTAAGCTTTTTATAATAAACATAAAATATGTTTATAATAAGTAAAAATGTAAGTATTTTTCTCTAAGCCATCATTCGATTATGAAATAGGACTCTAGGTCAGCAATTTAATTTATATTTCCCTTTAGTTTACTGATTATTTGCTTTCCTGAGTCAGGGAATTTCATTTTCAGCTTAATTTTTATTGAGCATAAGTGATTTTAAAAGGAATTTTACATTGAAATTAAGTATTTGACAGATGGGTTTTTTAAAACTTCCAGTATGGACTTTGATAAAAATGTAATGGTGTGCTAAATGAAGAAAAGTGAGGCTTATGAAAAAAGGTCATGTTTCTTTTTACTTTTCTTTACTTTTCTTTCTTTCTTTTCTTTTCTTTTTTTTTTAGATTTGTACATAGAGAGTTTATTTGGGGAGCGCCCTGGATATGCCCATTGGTTTGGGATATAAAGGAAACTGGGTTGAGCAGAAAGAAAAGCTTATTTGGGATGCAGTAAAAACAAAAGCTTCAGTGGATTGCATTTCTTTTAAATGACTACCTTCCCCTCCAGAACTGGCTATATGATTTGTAGAGTGCAGTGCAAAATGAAAATGTGGGACCTTCTACATGTGGGAGCCATGCGATTGAGCAGGTTTCAACACCATTTAGTTACCCAAGTTTCACAGGTTTAAAAAAAATGTTTGGAAGAATGTTAGCGTGAGATATAATGTTCAGTAGGGGTAGGAATGGGACAGTTAATTGTGGGTTGTAGTCTGGGTTCTGATGCTTTATTTCCTTTGAATCTTGAGCTTTTCCTCTCGCTTCCCTCACTTCCTATGCTAGGATTCCCCGTATACTCTGAATCTTGTCACTGCCATTTACCAGACCCCCTCTGAACATCACCTCCTCTCTTGTCTTTGTAACTTACTCTACTACTTCCACTCCAAAAACTCTTCAGTCCCATTGGGACCTTACATCACTGATTTCCATTTTCTCCAGCATTCATCCTTCTTTACACCCCTGCTTCCCTCTTCACCTAGCATGTATCTCCTAATCCATCACCGTAATTCTCCTCATATGCCCTTAACTTCTCCTCTCATTTTTTGTGCTCATCTAGCTAAACCCCAGTCCTCACTATCCTCCCTTGGTTTAAATAATACCTTTTTACTCTGTGTGAGCACCTGAGCTTCTGGACATGGCTAGAGAAACACTCATCACACTTTCCTTATTATTTTTTGAGAGAGAGATATTTGCTATCGGGCATGTGCACTCACTGGAGAGACAGAGACAAAAAGTGAGAAATCCTCCAGGTTGAATGGCCATGCTCCAATCCCTTTTCCTCCATTCTCTCCTCAGGATTTCGGGCACACATGCACACTTGCCCAGCATGAGTTAGCTGCCAGATCTGAGATTCAAACTGCTATCAACTATGTGAGAATCCAGTGCCATAGGCACTATAGCACTTGCTGGCCCCCACACTTTCCATTTTTAGTCATTGATTTTATGTAAACTTTTAAAACCTCTTGGCATTTCTTATGCATTTTTAAGCACTTTCTCATTTTCTGGGGAAATTTCACATCATATTTCATCTGTTCAGATTTCAAACATCCACATCCTCATTCTCTCTCTCAGCTATTCACCTCCCTTCCTATGTCCTTGAGAAAATCCAAGCAATCAAATAAAAACCATCTTCCTTTCCTACCACCAGGTCTGCCAGCATACCCTTCCCATGACAGTGAAGGAATTTTCCTACTCCTTTTTAAGACCAGCTCTTTGCTTGCAGCCTGAATTCTATACCTTCTTGTCTATTTAATTATTTCACTTCTATAGTTATCTCCTCTCCCTTCTATAGTATCAATTTCTCTCTTCTCTCCTGAATAAGACACCATCTTCCTTTCCTACCACCAGGTCTGCCAGCATACCCTTCCCATGACAGTGAAGGAATTTTCCTACTCCTTTTTAAGACCAGCTCTTTGCTTGCAGCCTGAATTCTATACCTTCTTGTCTATTTAATTATTTCACTTCTATAGTTATCTCCTCTCCCTTCTATAGTATCAATTTCTCTCTTCTCTCCTGAATAAGACAACCATGATATATTTTATATATATGCAGAGTAGAGTAGGATGCATCTTACTCCCTGACCCCAAAATATATTACAAAGCTATGATAATCAAAACAGCATGGTATTAGCAGAAAAGCAGACAGGTGGACCAACAAAACAGAATAGAGACCCTGGAAATAAACCCCCAAATATACAGCCAACTGATTGTTGACAAAGGGTACCAGTCAATCCAGTGGGGAAAGGAAAACATCTTTACTAAATGTTGCTGGAAAAACTGGGTATCCATCTGCAGAAAGATGAATCTTGACCCCTATCTCTCACCATTAACAAAAATCAACTTAAAATATATCTAGGATCTAAACCTAAGACCTCAAACTATGAAACTATTGGTGGAAAACACTGCAGAAACTGGGAGACATTGGGGTAGGCAAAGACTTCTTAAATAAGACTCCTAAAGCACAGGTAATAATCACAAAAATAGATAAGTGAGATTACATCAGATTAAGAAGTTTCTGCACAGCAAAACATACAGTAATTAGTGTGAATTGATGATCCTTAATGAGAAAATATTTTTGTAAACTGCCTCAGATAATGGACCGATAACCAGAATACATAGGGAAGAAGCAGCAGTTTACCTTAAGAAAAATCATCAACCCAATTAAAAGATGGGAAAATAAGTTGAACTAACAACTCTCTAAGGAAGTCATATGAATAGCCAAAAAGCATATGAAAAAATTCTCAACACCCCTCATCTTAAGGGAGATACATAACAAAACCACAATGACATACCACCTAACCTCAGTCAGAATGGTGAAGAATTAAAAAAAAAAAAATGATAACAGCTAGCAGGGCTGTGGTGAGAAGGAAATTCTCCTTCACCATTGGTGGGAGTGTAAATTGGTCCAGCCATTGTGGAGAACAATATGGAAATTCCTCAAAGACCTACAAATAGAACTACCATATGATCCAGCAGTTCCACTCCTGGGTATCCCAAAGGATAGGAGATCACTTAGTCAGAAAAGTGCTTGCACATCTATGTTTACTGCAGCATTGTTTATAATTGCTAAGATATGGAATCAACCCAAATGTCCATGAACAGACGAATAGATTGAAAAAGTATGACACCCATAATTTATGGAATACTACTCAGCCATAAAAAAAAAACCAAGATCCTGACATTTGATAGAAAG